ACCCTTACAGAGGTCCTGAGTTCAATTCCAAGCACACCCACTGTCTCCCATTCTAGTCTGTAACTCCAGTTCCAGGAGTTTCAATGCCATCTTCTGGCACTAGGTACTAGGAATCCTGTTAATTTAGTACAGGGATTTATGTGTAGGCAAAATACCCACACATATAAAATTTAAATACTAAAACCAAATCATGCTGGAGAAAAGCTATAAGCAATGCTGTATTTTAACCCACAGGAGGAGGCATTCCAATGGTGACAATGGGCAAAGAACCATCATTTGTAAAACTCTCCTGCAGGATGAACTGAATCCACATTAGAATAATGTCTTCTGGACTCAGCATGAGACAGAAAGTGTTCAACATATGATATACATATGTATGGAAGCTTAAAGAAAGACTGCAGAGAGCTGACTCCAAGCTCTAGTCTTATTCCTTGATGCTCACAGACCCAGGCAGCATTTTATTTCCCATTTTCTCTCCTCTTATCCCCTGACCCGTGTGTGTGTGTGTGTGTGTGTGTGTGTGTGTGTGTTTGCACGAGCATACCCTCACTTGGAAGTCTGAGGCTGATGTCAGGCAGGCAGCAATCATTCTCCATCTCTTTGCCATCATATTCACTGGGACAGTCTCCCTCAATCAAACTCCAAGCTCCCCAGGATAGCTAGTTTCGAGAACCAGCTTGCTCTGGGAAAAACCTGTTCCAGCCTTCCATAGTTGGTAATGACAAGCAGGCCACTGCACTCACTCAGCATTTTTAGGGGTTTTCAGGGATGCGAACTTTGGAACATAGTTGTGCAGTGAGTGTTTTTACTGTTGAATCACATTTCTTCCCAGGTCCATGACTTTGCCTGGTATTTACAATGGATGGATACTGGAGTCTCATAACCCATACTGACTGCTGCTCAGCCAAGATGTCTAGGTTCCACCAGAAAACACCGCATTTGACTCTATGTTATCATACAAGAGCGAGGCCACAGTCACTGGCTAAGAGCTGGTTAGAATGCTAGTGTAGATTCGAAGGGAAGAGTAAAAGAGGCAATTTAAGAACCTGTTTGTGTGCTCTGCAAGCCTTGAAAGAAATCCATAGCCCCAGCTCCTACGCCTGGGCTGCTCAGCACATCTTAAAAAAGAATGCACTTGCTCACTGCTTGCCCAAAGTGATGAGAGAAAAGATAAGTGGAACAGGACCTGAAGTACTTCACTGTTTTCTTTCGGATAGAGGCAGTTGTAGAATTCCTAACCACTCTGCTTTTCCAAATTGGCCCCTGCCTCTCTGAAATCAGTATTCTCTGCTAGCGTCAGAAAGAACATTGGCAGTGATGGAATATGAAGTTTTGCACTAACACATGGATGGAAACTTTCCTCCTGGGGGGGGTGTCTGTGTGTGTGGTGGTGGGGTGGGGAGTGATGCAGCTGTGGCCTCTGCAAGCAGGCCAGCAAGGAGTCAGTGCAGCCACAGGGACTGGGAGCTGTTCCTTCTCTGGGAATGAGACAGCAATGTAGGGTGCAGCCCTCCGCAGGCAGTTTGTAATGAATTAGAAAGTAAGTACGAGTTCTTTTTCTTTGTTTCTTTGTAACACAGTCCCTACCAGGGAAGGCAAAGCAAACACTGGCATTCTTCTCCTCCTGTCCTTGCTCTAGAGCTCTGACAAGCACAAACGCAACAACAAAGCACTTTCTAAAAGCTCCAGTTTCCAAATGTCAAAATGCTTCGAATCCACAAACACTTCTGCAGACATCCACTCTCTAAAAGTGAGTGTTTTATTTGAGCCCATTAGCCATAGCTGCCAAAACAGCCCAGTATGTTGATGGCCTTCAAATCCCTGAACTAGCCAACTTCCACCCCTCACTACCAAAAAGACAACAAAAAAAAAAAAAAAAAAAAAAAAAAAAGTGGGCAAATCGTAACTTCAGTTGCTCAAGCATTTAAATATTTGAAGACAGAAGCATTTATCTTAAGTAACAAAAAGAATCCTTTTGAAAATCAACTACACTTTTTCCTCTACCCTACAGAAATAAATATTTGGACTAATTTCTTTAAAAACAAAACAATGTTGGCTTCACCATTAAGAAGAAAACTCTTCTCTATTTCATTTCTTCCTCACAGCTGCCAGATCCTGTTCAGGAACCAAATCGCTGGTCTTTTCTTTTCTGTCATAGTGTGGATTAAAAAGAAAAACATCCCCAAAAGAAAAATGACTCCTCACAGCAGAAAAACCCAGGTTAGCCTGGCACCATGCCACCTGCTTTGCCTGGAGGATAAAGGGCTGCCCTGCCTTGTATCTTCCTACAGCTCCTGCTCCATGTAACCAGAGAAAGGTTGACACAGGATTCCTTGGGACACTACCCAGGACCTCCTCTGACTTATTTAAGGATGGGCATGTGACTCAAGGCCAAGAATTTGGTTGGCTGAGTTCTCAGAAACATCTTTAGGAATCCTTTCTTGCCTACTCTTGACCTCAAGAGTCAACTAGGCCTAGTGCAATCATACTATAATCATGGAACCAGACCAGAGCCAAGTTCTGCCGAAGTACAGGGTCAGTTCCAAAGCCATGTAAGAAGCTTCCTGATTGGTGAGCCCTCTGGATGTAAGACAGATGAAACACCCAGGTTCACTGAGTAGTTAGAAGTCAGACCAGTGCAGGAAGTCTCATGCAGTGTATCTTGAAACACCCTGACTACTGCTTCTCCAGATACACTGTCTGCTTGGATGTACTGAAGTGGTCATCTCTGTCTGCTATAGCCAAGACAATGTCCAAGCAGAGCGTCATCTGATCCTTTCTTCTCCCCCCTATTCTCTACCCTCTGCCTTGCTTTAGAAAAATTTCTGGACCATCCTCTAAGATCAAAGCCTTATTACTTGTTTTCTTAGTTAAGTATTAGTATTTTCACACCATTCTAGAACTTTTCCTCCCCTCTGCCCCACTGCTGCACACAACTGTAAGGTTGGCTGGGTAGGGAAGGGGCCATATGAATGAAAGACCCTTACAGGAGTCCTTCACTTCAGATAGTGCTGGTTAGTGGCTCCTTCCTCCTATCCTTCTCTTATCCATTGTTCTTGGTCCTCTTACTACTTTTTCCCAGTACAAGCTGAGGTCTTTTCTTAAGATAACATTTACTTGTTTATTTTGGAGGGCTGTGCACATGGAAGGCAGGAAGAGGACAATGTGTGGGAGTCTCTTCTCTCCTTTCATCACGTGGACCCTGGGGACTGAACTCACGTCATTAGGCATAGCTGCAAGCAAGCGGGTTTCCCTCTGAACTCCTTTATGGGCTCTCGGCTGAACTTTTGATAAAGGAAGTGTGCTTTCCCAGAAGTGCCCCTTTATTTTGTCACTCTTCAGGAGGCAGTTTAACGGCCCTCAGGCCACAAGGGGCTTACTTTCCTCAGCCAGTATACCAATCCCAGCCCAGTTTTACCAGTTTCTCCCTGTGAATGATTAACTTCTTGGTCTGAATCCTAACTTTCAAGGAGAGCATCTCAGACCCAAACCAGAAGAAAGCAGGGCAGCAGTGGGTTAGAAACACTTGGTTTGTAATTATATGATGACAACTACATGTCCCCACACAGCACCCAATGCTTGTATCCATACCCTGATGTCCAGTGTGTGCCATGTTAGGGCAGCACCCATCTCTCAATGCTTCTGCATCACTGATCCGGTTGACACGTGTGAGGCACCTGTTCATAAACAGTTTGGTTGCCTTAGATATTCAGTGCCCCTGCAAGGCCCGAATGTACCATGTCCCAGCTGGTGGCACTCCTGAGAAACGGGAGACAGGATCAGGTAGATGCCAACTTCTTCAAGGTTTACCCCAGGGAGGTCACAAGTAATCCTATTTTGATGTCCTTTCCCACTTGTTCTTGCTGCCTGCTGCTTTCTGCTCACCATATCCTGCCTCCCAGGACCAGAGCTGTGAATCTAGGCAAGCATGGACTAAACCTTCAGAAACTGAGGCAAAGGAAAACTTTCCTCCTTTACGCTGATCTGTTTAGATGGTGTGACAGTGGGAAGGAAAGAGGTCAGAAAGGCCAGGCAGGGATGCAGTTTGCTCTACTTTGTGCATACAGATCTCTTTTCTCAACTGCTGAAGGCTGAATACTCAGAGTATGATCCTGAAGATAGACACATGGCTTGGTCTATCCCAGCTGTGTGATTGATCCTTGAAGGCACCTACACTCCACTGCCTCTTCACTGCTACCATAAAATAAGGGTATAAATAATTCTGACCTAAGACCATGCCTCGAACATAAGCTATCACTGTGGACTAGCTATTATTTCCTCAAGACCAAATCCCAAGCAATACTTCACTTCATGTCTGCAATTCTCAGTTAGTTAATCTTCACCTGAAAAAATATTTTCTCCAAGTCTAAAGCTTATTGTTTATATTACTTTTACAGAATTTGTTCTTTGACAGGTTCATAGACGTATAATACGGATTCTGAATATTGTAACCCTGCACACTCTCTAATATCACTTACAACACTATTATTGTCTCTTCTCCCTACAGATTCCTTTCCCACATGCATTTCTTTTACCTATTTCTTTTAAAGCCACCGAGTTTAACCAGGACTATCTGTGTGACCATGGGTTTGGAAATGTCCATTGAGCCTAGTGGTCTCATTGCCAGGCTGAATACAATGACTGCCCTATCTCCAGAACCCATCAGCCACTGGATCAGTAGGAATGGGTGGGACCCTGTAAACCACTCTTGGATCCATGACTGACTGCTGATAGGCCCAGTCTGTGCAGGCACACTGCCGGAAGCCATGGCTGCTATGGGATCCTGATTGAACTGGCTGTGTTATGCCCACAAGACAGCACTGAGAAATCATATTTTACACTTTGCTATTCTTGGGTTTAAAACTATATGTTGGATACGGTAAAGAAATCAATAAAAAGCAGAGTTAAACAAAAGCCCATACTAGCCATATCTAGCAACAGTAAATATTCAACACAAATCTAGCCAAGATGGAAACCAGAAATGGGAGCAGGGTGCTTACCTGGTGATAGGAGATGGGCACAGGCCTCCGGAAGACAATCCACTCCACAATTTCACTACATGGAGGAGTAGTCAAGGAGCCAGTGTACCTGTAGTAGCTCCCCAGGGATGCAGGCAGGAGGTCTCGGAGGACGAAGGGATCCAGAAAGGTCTCCTTCTCTGTTTGGGGAGAGAGGTGAGAAGGTCATAACAGAATGTCAACAGCATGCCTCAGACAGACAGCTCAAACCCCAGCCTCCACCCTAGGCTTTTCCTCAGATACACTGGCATCTGGTGGCAGGAAGGCCTCAGAAAATAGGGCAGCTAGTCCCAGACATGTGGTACAGAGGCAAGGTTCCCCAGTCAGTGAGTTATAGCAGTGCCTTCCTGCTTCCAAGGAGTCAGAACTCCTCGGCAGTGAAGACTGACATGCCCTGCAGGAAACTCCATCCCAATCTTGCTTTATTTACCAGTCAAGCCTTCTCTGTCTAGTGTCTATGAGCTGATAACCAGTAGAGAAAGCTTGGAACAAAATGAGGCAATTGGTACAGCAAACAAATAAACAAACCAAAAGATCTCATCAAACCACCAGTGAGCTAATACAGTGCTCATTTTCCAAATGGGCCACATTCTTCATGATGACTTCAGAGGACGAAAAATGCTTAGTTTCTATAGTCACCCTGACTGAATTAAGAGACACCTAGAACACTTATTGAAGCACACCTTTGGATGTGTCCCTGAGAGTGTTTCCAGAGAAGAGTGACTAGGGCAGGGAAGACCCTAAGTGGCTGGAGATCAGGACTGAATAAAAAGAAAGGTGTAAGAAGAAAGCCCGCTAGTGTTGGTCTCTTTCCTATCCCTGTTTCCTAGTCAGCTAAGACATGAGTAAGCAATCTCATGACTGTCACAGCTGCCAGCAGCTCCCACTGTAATGCCTTCCCTAACATAATGGACTGTGTCCTCAAACTGTTTGCCAGAGAAAACCCTCCTTCTTCCCTTGCCAGTCAGATATTTGGTCAAAAGAAAGAAAAAGGTAGTATTATTCAAAGCCTATCCAGTTTCAAGTAAAACCTTGACAGGGCATGTCTCTGACCTTGAAATACTGGCCACTGAAAGGCTTAGAAGGAAGAAAGGGAAGGAGAGAGCGAGTGTCTGTCTGTCTGTCTGTCTGTCTGTCTGTCTGTCTGTCTCTCTCTCTCTCTCTGTGTGTGTGTGTGTGTGTGTGTGAGAGAGAGAGAGAGAGAGAGAGAGAGAGAGAGAGAGAGAGAGAGAGAAAGAGAGTAGAGAGAGAGAGAGTAGAGAGAGAAAAAGAAGTAAGGGGGCCCATACTCAAATAAAGAACAACAACAGACTGAGACAACGATCCTGACAATGGCTCTGTGTAGGAAGTAGGCCATCCTGCAAGAGTCGGTACCCATCTGTGGTCATAACAGCTCCAAAGACACTGTCCTGGGAAGTGAAGCCAGGCATGTGAACACCAGAAACTACCCAGCTCCAAACAAAGGACTTAAAACGAGTTAGATGAAAACTGGAGGTGGGGGATATTTTAGGCAATGCAAAGCTGCTGAGGGACACAGAAAGAGTGTAATAGAGGAATTGCTGGGATCATACTGGCCTGCAGCCATGTCTGTGAGGTATCGTTTTGACTTATGGCAGCTGTGGGAGGCCAGGCAGGTCTGGACTATACAAGAAAGCCAGGACATATGAGGAAGAGAGTAACCCAGTAGCAGTGTTCCTCCAAAGGTTCTGCCCTGGCTTCCTGCAGTGATGCATTATGATCTCCAGTGTAGGCCAAATGTACTCTCTCCTCCCCTAAGTTGCTTTTGGTTAGCACAGAAAAGCAAACTAGAAAACTGCCAAGCACTGCTTAAGCTCAGTAAGAAGCTCATGGGTTGATCAAGTGACCTCTAAGGCTTCTCAATTGTAAATGGGCTGTGACATAGAAGACAGAAACCACCCAGTAAAAACTGTGACCTCATGAACAACTGGAAGCCAGGCAGTGGTAGTGTACGCCTTTAACTTGGGAGGCAGAGGCAGGCAGATTTCTGAACATAGCCTGGTCTACAGAGTGAGTTTCAGGACAGCCAGGGCTACACAGAGAAACCATGTCTCAAAAAACAACAAAACAAAACAAACAAACAAAAAAAGAGCAAGAACAACTGGAAGGCCAACAATTTCCAACAGCGGTTACCAGTGCCTATCCTACAACATAACTGTGGGAGAGAGAAGATGGTCAGAAGTCTAGCTTGGGATGTTTAGCTGCAGAAAGATCACCAGTGGAGAGAACGCTCACCTGGGAACTCCTGCCCTGCCTCAACCTACCCCGTTGGTTTCTGTTAGATGCTATGGGCATCCAAGCTGACGATGCTACTTTTCTGTTGTTATTTGTTATTTCCTTGGATGCCTCTAAACTGTAAAATGACTATAATATCTTCTAGGAGAAATTTTTTTACTCTCCTGTCCTCTTGTTTTTTTATCTTTTAGTATCTTTTCTCTCTCTTTCTTAAAATTTAGATTTATTTATTTGTTTTATGTAAGTGAAACTGTCATTGTCTTCAGCTACACCAGAAGAGGGCGTCAGATTCCATACAGATTGTTGTATGCTACCATGTGGTTGCTGGGAATTGAACTCAGGACCTCTGGAAGAACAGTCAGTGCTTTTAACCTCTGAGTCATCTCTCCAGCTCTGAGAATTTTTTTTTTAAACAAGGGACCACTCTGTTCTGCCAGACACTCTCTCTGTTAAGGACTCCAGCTGACTGCTTCAGTGGGGGCTTCTTCAGTCAGCTATGCACGATGTTTTTATGTATCTGATTTGACAATGTTTTGTTATCTATGTATCTATCTACTCATCTGTTATCATGTAATTATTGTTATCTTTCTCTCTTTCTCTTTCTCTCTTCCTTTCTAACCAGCTATCACTTAGCTAGCTGTCATCTAACAGTCATCCATTTATAATTTTATAATTACCTATCATCCATCAATCTAGCTATCATTTAGCTATCTATCATCTACTTATCAATCATCTAATAATTACTTTTCATTATCATGGGGGTCAGAATCTATCTACTTACCCATCTATCATCTACCTACCTACCTATCATCTATCTACCTATTATCTACCTATCATCTATCTATCTATCTATCTATCTATCTATCTATCATCTAACTACCTATCATCTATTTATCTGTCTATATATCATCCATCAATTTGCCTATCAATCATCTACCAATTTATTGAAGTCAACCATCTAGCTATTATTTACCTTCTATCACTTGCTATTTATTCTATTACTTTAGCTTACTGTATATTTAATAAAACATTCTCATTCAAAACTGAAAATATAGCAAACGCATATCATTCTCTAGACTGAATGGAATAGTCTTATTATTCACCCTACCAGACATCGAAAATTATAAACTTTTTTTATAAATCAGAGAGGGTTCTAGTTTCTATTTGCATCTTTAAAGAAGATTTGGACTTAAAATGGAGACAGCACCTCCTCATTGCACTTACAGATATCTTTAGGCTATCGAGGTCTTGCTAATGGTTTGCTTCTTTTCCTCAGGAGCTTTCACCACAGCTCCCAAGATGTTGCTGGTAGCCTTCTAGGCTTTGAGCAACCCTCCAGATATACCTATATGCCTGGAGCCACATTCTTCCCACAGTTTGACCATCTTACACTACTCACACAGACTATCCAGGGTAGACTCAGTATAGCTTCCATACTCCAGAAATCTAAGTACCTGGCAGAAATCAAAAGAATCCCAGTAGAAAGTAAATGAACTAAAATCATCAAAACTGCAGTATCGCCGGGTGGTGGTGGCGCACGCCTTTAATCCCAGCACTTGGGAGGCAGAGGCAAGTGGATTTCTGAGTTCGAGGCCAGCCTGGTCTACAGAGTGAGTTCCAGGACAGCCAGGACTACACAGAGAAACCCTGTCTCGAAAAACCAAAACCAAAACAAAACAAACCAAAAAAACAAAACTGCAGTATCTTCTAGAAGAGATTTTTTTTAAGACATTCTGGGCTATATTCTGTGTTTCACAATATCCTACTCACAGGCCAAAACACTTTCACGGCATTCAATACATGTAGAAGGTCCTGTTTTAAAAGACTTGCAAACTTTAAGTTATTTGATCCTTAAAATAACTTTATCAAGTTAGTCCCATTATGGACCCAATTTCCAGAGTCTAGAATGTAAAACATGGGTGTTAAGAAACAAATCATCATAATTTCCTAGGACTACACAGTTCAACAAATTATGCATTTTTGTATATTTGTGTGTGTGCACGCACGCATGCATTTTTCTGTGGATGCCTGTGAATGTTTGCATGCAGAAGTCTGATGTCAGCGCTAATGTCATTTCTTAGGCAATATTCATCTTGTATTATGAAACTGGCTCTTCCTGGCCTGGAAGTCACCAGTTAGGCAGACGGAGACCCACCTTTGCCACCCGAGCAATTGGATTACAAGCATACTCTATCACCTCCAGCTATTTTTTTTTTCTTTAAGTATGGGTTCTGGGGATCATTTTCAGGCCCTCATGCTTGTACAGCAAGCACTTACTTCCCTGACAGAGTTCGCTCCACAGCCCGGAAGTGTACTTTAACATGCTTGACCCATGTAAAAATCAAGGCACAGAGATGCCAACTACGGACTCCCATTGTTATAAGAAGACAGAGTACAGTGGTCCCTTACCCAGGAGCAACAACAGAAGTCCATGCTCCTATTTTTCCTTAATTTTTTAAAGGAAAAAAATAATGCAAAAGTCTTTAAATCATAGGTTTTGCAACCAAAAGCATGATCCCAGTTGAATGAAAGTGGAAACTAAAGGGCATGCCTCTCCACCCCCTGGCAAGTCTGGGCTTTAATTTTCCCTAGTAACCAGGGAGCCAAATCACAGGAACACCTATCAAACTGTGCTTGGCTGGGACTGGCTTGGCTGGGAGAAGGACTACTTTGGCCTTTGCTTGCAGCCTCTATGTTTCCCTGGCCACACAGCAGCTAACACAAAGCCAGAACAGAACACCCAGAGGCTGTGCACAGGGCTCAGCATCATAGGCAGCACAACTGCTACTTTCCTGTCTCCCTTGAGCAGCAGGTGAAGTCGGCATCCCACTAAGTAGCCTAGGATCAGGGGCTCCAAAATGAAAGATGGGAAAAGCTGTAGTTTTTC